TTAAATTTCGATCAAACGACCGGATCATTTACCATTCATGGGTTGGGTCGGGCATATAAATTTTTATTGAGCTTGGGTTCGAGTATACAAACACCTAACCTAGTCCAGCTTATTTCAAAACCTATAGACTAAATGACCCTCAAATGCCTCTAGTCATTTCTAAATGACCATGGTCATTTGGTCACAAGTCATTTCCAAATGACCCAAAATTGAGATGACCGATAATGACCGGTCATTTCGGGGTCATTTGAAGTCATTTGAAAAATTTGCAAATGACCAGGTCATTTACTATCACTGCTTTTAGACGATCGAACATCGAACATTGCTTATTTCACATTTGGCTATTATAGCTTCAACTTGTGACTCATAAGCGACGAAAGCTTTTGGCGAAGTGGCATAGGTAGATTTGATATATTCTATTATTTTGTTTTGCTAAGTCCTAATTTAATGGTTTCTTGCATGTAATTAACGAAATAAAGCCTACAATATAAAATACATACTTATACCAAATTTTGCATCGCTTTTATTTTTTGCAAAAAAAAAAAACAAATAAATTAAATAAGGGAATTATTTTTTATATCCCCCAAATTTATTATTCGTACCCCTGCAAAAATTAAAGTATTTTTTAACTTTGAAAGAAGATATCACAGCGACCACCAAGTTAAATTCGATGAATATTTATAAAATTCGAACAAAAAAAAAATTCATCGAATTTGACTTGGTAGTTTGCAAGATATCTTTAAAAAAAATTCAAAACAGATATATTAAAAAAATAATTTTAACTTTGAGCGATGATATCTAAGAAACTACTAGGTCAAATTCAATGAACTATATTTTGGTTGAATTCTATAAATTCATAAAATTCATATAAAAAAAAGTTCATCGAATTTGACCTGGGGTTGCTGAAGGTTCAAAACAAAAGCTGCGCCAAAATTTCTCCAAACTTTGAACAAAAATATCTCAGCAACCACGAAGTTAAATACAATAAACTTTTTTTTATTTGAATTCTATGAATTCCTAGGATTTAAATAAAAAAAAATTCATTGAATTTGAGTTTGTAGTTGCTGAGATATCTTCGAAGAAAATTTTGGTGCAGCTTTTGTTTTGATAGACGTTTTGAGCTTTTTTTAAATCCTTGAGCGAAGTTATCTCAGCAACCACCAGGGCAAATTCGATGAATTTTTTTTTCATTTGAATTCTATGAATTCAAAAAAAAAGTTTGTCAGATTTGACCTAGTGGTTGTTGAGATATCTTTCAAAGTTAAAAAAAAATTTTGATTTTTGTAGGGGGGTATAAAAAATAATTCATTTTAAATAATGATAAACTAATGACAATAATTTTATTTTATTAGCTAGACAACGAACATACGTAAATACGTAATTTTTGTTTCTAGTTCTGAATGTTACACCATTCCGATCTAGCTTTCCGGACAATCATCCGATCTCAACCTGGTACACATTTTCCAGGTGACCTAACGCTAATGTTTATTTGAAGGGATGTTAATCGGTCTTTTGGGACCGAATCCTAACCGGTCCTTACAAGGATCTAAAAACACAATACATTTTATAGGACTTGGATCCTGAATAACAATACAAAATTAATTTGATTGGATGGACTTATTTGATAGATTCAATTCAAAATCTGATACAGGATCTAAGTCCTATAAAATGTATTGTATTTTCGTGTGATTTAAAGGATCGAGTTCAGGACTGTCTTTTTAGATCCTAGGATCGGGCTGGACCGGACCGGATTCGCAATTTAACATCCCTATATGGGTGAAAGTCCGTCTTTGACACTTTTTTATCAATTTCGAGATTTTTGATTCAAATTAAAGTTCTGGTTTATATCTATATGTATTTCGCTTTTTACCCTACGTTAATATAATAATTTATCAAGATATTTTAACTTGAATGTAACCCAATTTTTTAAGGTTCAAAGATTGACAACTCAATTAAATTAGATTAGTCAATCAGTGTTTAGTAATCACATGACATTGTTTATTCAGTAATTGATATCTAAAAATAAACAAATAATCGCCAGTCCATCGCCCCCATATGTTTACCCCTATCGTAGTGGAGTATTATCATTCTAAAATAGAGAAAAAGGACTTTAAAAGAGTGTTAGATCGTGTAAAGAAAGATATTCAAGAGATTGCAAATCCTAATTCTGATTTTGACACAACTCGCAAAAGAAACCATTGATAACTGGAAGGTATACATTTTTTTTCTGTCAGATATTTGAGCTAGTTAAGAGATTAGTCTATACAGTGATGAACTGCTAGTTCGACACTTAGCACAAGCTGGGACTGTTAGTCTACCAGTGATGAATCGCTAGTTCGACACTAGTACAAGCTGGGACTGCTAGTCTATGGGGACAATCTCTTGACATTTCCATTTTATAACTTAATTGAAATATCATACATATATTACTAATTTGTATTTTTTTGTCAAAGAATGGACTATTTTGATGAAAAACCTGAAAAAATATTTGCGAATCAATATTCAGGTAAGATTATAATCTGGAAGTTTATGCAAGAAAAAAAATTATTAAACCAAGTTTCTTCAATTAGGTAGAACAACAGATACTTGCATCTGGCAATGCAAGTCAGAACATTGATTCCATAAACAGCCGTTGTACAGCTCTTGAAAACATCAAAATGATGACTCAAAAGGAACTCCCAAAGAAAAACGCCAAGATACAGGGGATAGAAAAATTATTAATGAGCCTGTAGTAACCAAAAAAAAAATTTACCGACAAATTTTTATCATTTTTTCCTTTTTTGTGCCCTCACGAACAAAATCAATTTAAAGGAAAATAGTCCCATTCAAATAAAGCGAGATTTAGCATCAAAATTTAGGAGAATGCAAAATAAAAACAATAATGCAGCGACTCAGAAAGTGATACACAAGTGATTAATACCAACCAAAATTTAGATAAAAAACAAGTTGAGGTGGGTTCTATAAATAATCGATTATCAGAAAACATTTTTCAACATTTTTATGACTTTCTTTAGGAAGAACTTGTGGGACGGTATAGTATCAGAGAACGAAAAGAAACCAACTCAACTATACCGATGTTTCAGGCTCAGACATAGATCTATATAATGTATTTATTCTTGTTACTTTTTTTCATAATAAAAAAATATACAATTCTCATTATTTTTATTTTGAAATCTATTAAGTCCCTGCCAAACAACCCAGATGCTTCAATTATATCACTAAATAGGCCAATCATATCGGAAACAACATATAATCTAATTTATATGCGTATAATTTGCACGTTCAACTAAATGTTACATTTGGACAAGAAATCTGTAGAAGAAACCTTATTTGAAAGATCGAAAGATTTTTATGAAGGTATCTGATTTCAGTCCAGAAAATACAGTAAAGCTATCATTAATTTATGAGGTAATTTTATAAAAAATTTTTTTTAAAAAAATGAAATGATATTTGAAGTAGATTTTGCGGAAATTACTTTAAAATAATAACAGAGACGAAGAATATAAAAAAAACTGATGAATCACAATTCCTTTTTTTCATTAGACATGCCCTTCTCGATTTCATCGCAATGTTTAAAAATCTGTCACCAAAGGGTTATGTCCGAAAGGACGTATATAGTTGAATATATTTCACCTATTTTTCGATCTCGGAAGACTGACCTCCTAGTTATAAGCTCTCTGATGCAACTGAAATCTTACATATTGAAGTTTCCGGCCCGCCTTTTAAAGTGGATAAAAAACACACGATCGGTGATATTAAAAAATTGCTAATGATGGCGGTTTGCAACCTTTGTAGAATCTTAGCAAACAACTTCAATTGTCCGATTGATTTCACAAAAAAAGTTAAATCATACAGTATTCAGGCAATTGGAGACAAATTAACATTATTTTCCGTATCATTTGTTGATAAGAAAAAGTACTTAGCTATTGAATTAGCTTTCTGTATAATTCCTTTTTCGTTTGAAGAATTGGATGTTATATAAAAAATTCGTACTTTTTGTACCTTCTGTTGAAGAAATACAGTGAATTACGGAAATGGATAGACTTACCAGAATATGATCTAATACCTGTAACAGAAGAGGAAATGGGTGACCTCATTTTAGATTATTAATGAAATTTTTATTATACAATAGTGTTATTATTATAATAGGTTTCATTTGATTTGTAGTAATAGGTAATAAAATAATACTTTGGATTTTATTATGGGAGAAACGAAATATGAATATAGTAAATGGGAATGATTTTTTTCATGTAAAAATCTTATCTTCTTTGCATTATGAGTCATTAATTACATGAAACCATGTTTTTAGTCTCATAATTACATGTTGCAATTCTGAATAGCATTTGAATAATTTGCATTTCTATTCCGCGGATTATTATATACCGAATGTTGAAATTTTTACTTTAAGAGTTTTTTTGGTTTGGCGTAAAGAGAATTGACCGCTGTTATAATATAGGATGATTGTGATTATGAGAATGACTAATAAATTATAGTGATGAATTTTATAAAAGCGATCACGACAATCGTACTATACCAACGCCACACTATCACTAATAATAAAAAATTCAGTGCATTTATTCAACAAAAGTTATTTAATAAAAGCTATTTAATATGTGCTAGCTTAAGTTGATTGACGTGATTCTTATTCAATTATCAACTAATAATTTAACATAGCATTTATTCATTAAAGTTAATAACTACTGTAATTTAACGTGGCATGCATTGGATTAAGGTATAACTTTAACTGAATTATACACGTACCAATAATTAATTCAAAGATAATAGCATGACATTTATTTAATTAAAGGTATAAATATGTTATACTCACTTTAAGCTATGTATCTGAGCTATTTATTAATTATTTAATTTAATGCGTATAACTACATTTTGAATTATAAATTAAAACGTGTGAACACACCAGTGCGTAAATGGTTACAGTTTACTGTACTATGTAACTTCAAGCAAATATATTGTAAATGTCAATGAATTTTTAAATTTTACATGAAACTTTATCTATCAGTTATGTATGCACAAGTAACATGTACGCATTATTAAAAAATCAATTTTGGAGTAAATATTTCTCAATGAAAAATAAAAACTAACTTGCAACTTGTCCGCTACTAAATGATTTAAATTACTTATTCCCTCAATATAATTACATCGATATTGAACTGTAACAGCAATGAAACTATCTTTGGTTATACAAATTTAAATTCAGAGATTACTTTTTTTAGAATACGCTCTTGATACCAAAATTACCATTATGACTTGAAATATATAGAATTCGCCGGATAACCAGGTAATTTAATAATACAGTATGTCAAATTTGAAGAAAAAAATATAAAGTATGATGAGTGACGCCAAGAGAAAACCATTTGGATTTATAACTTACGGACTCAAACATTGGAAATTTTTATACGTATTCAGTTGAATTCTCGCTATGATTGGACAGTGACACGTAATTTTCAGGCAGTTCCAATGAAATATGATTTATTACTGATAGTAATAATATAGAGTTAAATAGAAAAATTCCGTGGAAAATTTTTTTGCAAACGTAGCATGTGATCTAGATTTTTTTGGCAATTACTATATTTTTTTCACTTTTCTTTTGCGGTAGGAATTGTTTTATGTAATAAAGTTTTGTACGGTACAAGAAAAGTATTGCCTTTTTTTTTTTTTTTTTTTTTTTTTTTATGCTCTTACAATTTTGGGTTATGTTTTTCTATAAGTTATGTATTCTAAGATTTAACCTTTTATGATTGATAAATGATATCGGTATTTGAATTTTATAAATACCAAATATTTAAGTTCTTAAGAAAATAAGTTTCTTGTAAAGACTGTTGTGACAATTTATTGCAGTATATTGTCGCCTCTCTCTATACCGAACGTACCTAATGTCGTGTCTTAGTACATAAGCCATAACCTATTTTATACCTGTAAACTGTATAACAAACATTCATGTATGATGACTATTTCTATATGAATGCCGTGAATCATCTAGCACTGTCGCACTCAAAACCTTGTCCGGCTCTAAAGAAAATTCTTGAAAGAAGTTACAGAATTGCATAGTATGTAATTAGCGTGATAAATTGATTGATTAACTGATATATATATAGTATATATGTAATTAGCGTGATAAATTGATTGATGAACTGATATATATATAGTACATATATTTCCCCGATTCTTTATCTATAAGCGTTAAATCACAGTGAAGAAGCAATATAAGATAATAATTCTGTTTTTTTTTCATTTCATTTTTGCAATTTTGTAAAGATTCTTACGTAAAGATCCCTGCTCTGCATATTGCATAACTATAATGTATTCACCTGTGCCTTCATCTTTTGATACTCCATGACTTTTGGGGTTCTTAGATCCAATATTTGAATATGCAATTAATTTTAAAATTATAATTATTAATAATAATTGAATAATAATGATTAAATTCATAAACATTATTAAAATATTTACCTCTTTTATAAGTTCCTCGTAGCTGCTTTTTGACCCATGAATTAATTTAGGTGCAACCTGTTGACTTGCAACAGTACCATCTGTTCGTTTACCCCACCTTCTCCAATTATTCCTGAAATTTCTAATTCATTAAATGGGATCCATGATATTAATAAATTTTTTTCGGTAATAATTCTTTCAGAGAATCATCAAAATTTTCAGAATCAACTGTCTCTTGAAAATTATTACTTCTCGCTTTTTCTTGATTAGGTGACCATTTCGATAACATAATCAAAGTTCATGTTGTCCACGATAATTATCATTTTCTGCCGATCTTAAATACCATTCAAATGCCTTTTTTTCATCTTTTATAACACCTATACCAATCTTATAACACACCGCGAGATTAAATTGTGCAATGAAATAACTACCTTCAAATATCACTCAAATGCCTTTTTCGTCTTTGGTTGTGCCTATGCCATCTCAGTAACAGGATTCAAGGTTACATTGTCCGGTAGAATCGCCATCTTTAGCAGATTTCAAATACCACTCAAATGCCTTTTTTTATCCATGGCTGTGTTACATTGTCCATTCGAATTGCCACCCTCAGCAGATTTCAAATGCCTTTTTTCATCCTTGGCTGTGCCTATGCCATTTCTGTAGCAGAATCCAACAATAGATTTTTCCTTCGAATTACCACCTCAGTAGATTTCAAATACCACTCAAATGCTCTTTTTTCATCCTTGGATATATGCCTTTTTGATAACATAATCCAAGCCTGTTTTGTCCATTGGAATTACCACTTTCGACAGATTTAAGGTACAGTACCACTCAAATGCTTTATTTCATCCTTAACTGTGCCTATGACGTTTTAATAGTAGAGTCTAAAATTATATTGTCCATCAGAATTACCATCTTAAACGAATTTCAAATACGACTCAAATTTATCCATCACTATCAAAATTTCTTCATCGAGAATTTCGAATTTGATGTATTAAAATTTAGTTCGAGTCTTTGATTTATATTACCTTATTGAGCTTAGTCACGATACTTCACTAAGTTTTAATTAGTATTGAAGTTTCATTAACGTGAGAGATCAAATGCCTATAAAATATAATAACGATTAATTATACATTTAGCGGATCTGCAAAGTACCTTGTAACCCCAAATTTGTGAACTAAATCAACATAATCATATTAACGTTAACGGCAAAGCAGTCATATAACCTTGGTAAGTCACATAATAACCCTATTACGTATGAAATTTTGTCAGAATATAGCCCTTTTAAAGCTAACTTTTTTGATCAAAAGTATTTTTGCTTGATCAAAAAATAGTATGGACATACTGTAACTTATAACAACAATGAAAGATTTTGTTAATAATTTTAGCAGAATCATGATGTAATTGATGGTATTGTTAAGTGTTTTAACCAGATGTTTTAATACCCTCCCGACATTAATACACCCAAGATAGGTTCAGGATCGTCAAATTTCTATAATTTGATTGGCGAAATCGCGTGATTCTGTTCCGCCCCTAAATTTAGAAAACGTGCCCAAAAATCACAAAGCCAATAAAAACCGTTTGAAAAAAAAAACTAGATACGTACGTATTCATTACTTTTTATTAGTGATTATCTAGTTAGAAGCTTCCTTAATAGCATATTTTATTTCTTGATTCCAAAATGGGATTTTTTCTTACTTCTTATACTCCTACTTCCTATTAATATCTTCACCGCTTTATATAAGCGGGTTGAAACAGGAGAATAGACCGTAAAAGAATTGAAAAATTTCAAGGAAATGCTCAATAGAGCGATAGATAATGTGAGGTTAGAACTGCTTAATAATTTTGGAGAAGATCTTTTGGAACAAAGTGTAAGTTGTTATAGTTATTACTGTATTAGCTTAGAACAAATTACTTGATATGGTAAGAGGTTGGTTTTTTTTGAAGGAGTTGTTGAAATATATATATTATATGTATAATTTATATTACTCCTTATGACCGATGTGGATAATGCATAAGAGCATGCCAAGGGAAAAAGGCCATTCAGACTTTCTGTTATATATTTTGTATACAGTTAGCCGTCTATGGAAATCTATAACTTTCCCATAGATGGCTAACTGAGCATAGCGGGCTTTAAATCTGATTGGATGATCGCCCGGAATGTTTCACAATATGGTTTACATATTAGCGTAACG